GAAAAAGAAAGATGGTGCCTGGAGCTTGTGAAGCTCGTGTTTTCTGCAATATTTTGACATTTCCTGTTAGTGTTCTGGTGATTAGTTCTAACTCATCACGTTTTTTCTGAACTTAGGTTCAGAAGTAACTGAGTTCAGGTTCTGAGTAACGTAAACTAATATTTTTGCAAAAGTTTGAAACCAAGTTTTTGGGTTCTCCTCTCCAGATCTACACAGAGAGCAATCAGTTGTTCAAGAAAATAAAAAATCCAAGGATGGCTTGGATTAATTATAGAACAATACTTCAATATTTAAGCGTAACTTTGAACGAGGCAGTAAAATAAGATAAAGAGTTTCAAATTCAATCCAAGTCAAAGCGCCCCACAACAGAACTGTAACGGTCAAATAAAAGCAAAGAAGACATAGCAGAAAGACTGCAGTGATTGCAAATATCATAAAAGGTATTTGTAAAAATTGCATAGGATTGTAGAGTTATTCCTAATAACTCTGGGCTTATTTTTATCTTACTCATAATCTTGAAGAACCAATGGCAACCCTGTGGTTGTGCTTGTTGAGCCAAATGTCCCTTGACTCATTGTAGAGTCTGCTTCAGCACTGAAGTAGAACTAAAAATTTTCACAACCTCTGTTTTCTGATTCAGCCAATAGTTTTTAAACTGTATATTGTGTATTTGGCCTCTATGGAAACAATATAAAAATCCAACTACTTTTCAGGAGACTTGGCAAGGCACTTTCTGTTAGAATGGAATTAACTTCAGGAATATAGAACACTTAATGAATACTTAAAAAATAAGTACTTTTGTTACAACAGTATCCTGAAAAGATTATTAGAAGAATCATGCATGCATATGTCCATGCTGTTTTTATTTCATTTTTACATTATTTTCTGCAAACTAAAATTGGGTACTGTCAATTTATTTTTACATTGATTACTTAATTTTTCTCACTAGTTCTCAGTTGAGAAATGCACATCCACTCAGTAATGAGTCAAGAGGTAATAGAGTGAAATAACTCAGAAGTGGGGATAAATCTGAAGTCCCAAATAGCCTTTGTGACTCTAGGAGAAGATGCTGCTGAGGCTTCAGGACAGGCAAAGACTGGATTAAATAGAGCAGGGTAGAGGTAAGGACAGGGAGCTTGCAACCTTACCCAAAGCTCATTGAAATGAATGGAAGTACCATTGATTCTAAAATTCAGGTATTTTGAAGTTCTGTAAGAACAGAGGGCAGAGTAAGTGGAGCAGTAAATCAGTCTAGAGATTGATTCTATCCCATTTCATGTCCCCCTTTTGAAGACAAGATACTCATACTTTGGGGATCTTAGTTGTCTACTTTTTGTTGTCTACTACTGCTTACTATAGAACCTCTCTTCAGTTGGAAAAACAAAGGAAAACAAGCAGAGTCTTTTAAGCCCACATAGAAGGATTTTCCTTTATTAAGTACAACAATCAACAATCCTTCTTGATTTCCAAAAGCTCTGATGTGCTTTCCTCTCCCTTATTTTTACCAAAAATAATTCTGTTTGAAATGATCAGGTCAGAAATGATCTTTCTATTGTTCCTAGGGAGAGAATAAGCTATGCCTCCCAAATGTCAATCAGCCTAAGGTAAATATTTCTTCCTCAAAGCAGAGCTCCACCAAGCATTAAAATAATAATTTGAGGGATCTGATTTAACAATCCCCGTAGAGATTACTCTATCAAAGGAGTATTTCCACCTCAATAAAAATCTGACTTAGATATCTGTTTTTTGTTGATCTGCACAGAACAGCGGTGGAGATGTAATGATTAGAAGAAATACGTGATGATTCACACATTGCTCTGTTTTGTTTTGTTTTGTTTTTTTAAATGGATGAAAACAATGTTTCTTCCTTCCAATGGCTTCTGTTTGTGAGAACTGTGAGAAAGAAAAATATCTTCTTTATATCAGGGAGAAGGCAGTTCAAAATTAGGGAAAGGTGCAAATAAGAAGTTCCAGCTGTGATTGCTGCAAAATCATGGCATGGCCATGCATGCTTTGCAAAACATCTAGAATCTTACATGCAGAGCTGGAGTAAGCATTTCTCTTTCAGCAGTCAATTCTTATAGTCCTATCTTTATGATATCTTATAGTCCTGTCTACGTGCCTTTCTTGAAAGACAAGAAAAGCAGATTAATGAAAGATTACATTCAAATGTTTGTGCATTGTCTAAAAAGAATCTTATACCAATTCCTTAATTGCTTCAACAAGCCCACATTGATTGTTTTACCAAAACTGATGCACCTTGAAATTTCATTTTCCTTACACAGAATTTCATTTCCATTGCATAGAATTGTATTGCTCAGAAAACATAATCTCATGTCAAAAACCATTTTTTTTTACAACTAAAATAACAAAGATCATAGGTTACCAAATTTATCTCACTGAAGCAGATTTCATACTCTGAAAAACCTTGGCATTGTGGTACATTCAAATATCAGAATAAATTGACAATGGGACAATTTAAGAAAGGAGAACAAGAGAAATCAGACTACCACTTGAGATCTTTAAATCAAGATGGGATGAATGGGGTGTTGTTCCATTCATATGCTTCTGAAGTAGTTAATTCAGTGAGGGATTTATTGGGAGCATTTTATGACTGTTTCAAAAAGTGGGATTTTAAAACAGAGAGTACATGACAATCAATTCTATTAATTCATAAAACACATAGAGCATATTTTTACTGCTGTTTTTTAATACCTGGACGTGTTAATGGGATTTGAGAAGTCATACATTCCCAGCAAACTACTGAATTCAAAAGAGAGCACATTTTAGTAAGTTCAGATTCTGTAACGATTGGTCCAGGATGCATTTCCTGTAATTGATTGAAATAATTTTGCAATGGTAGCATGAAGAATCTCCAGAAAATACATAGGCAACCTGTGCCTTAACGTGAACCTGTTAAAATTCTCCTCAAATAATTCTTCAAAGAATTTTTTTTTCTGTCTTTTAGACCCCACACTGCAGAACGCAGAAAGTCATTAAATCGTTGCCTATCACATGAATTCATTAATTCTGTTCTTTTAGTGATGTAAACATATTAATTAGGAAAAAGCCCACTCCGGGAGATGAACCCCTGATCTATATGCACAGTTTAATAATCATTGTACCATGGTGATTAGAATGATTATTGGGATACTGTGAAGAATTCATTTGCGACAACTAAGCCAACAACTTTGCATGTGTTTTGAAAAACAATTATAGAGCTTAATTGGGAACCATGTAATGATGACAGCAGTTATTTCAGTGATTGATTCAGAAATTAAAGAGAAATGGCAAACTAAATACCAGAATATCCCATCTTAGAGAACTGAAAACAGAGAGAGCATGCATTGTATGCAAATTGTGAAATGATGCAAAATCCTCCCACTGCTTTATAACAGAGGGGCACTGGCTGAGATTTTTCTCTTCACAAATAAAGACACAAATAAAAGAAACCAAAACAGCAACAATAATCCAGGCCAAGTAGGGGAAAACATTAACAGAAAACAAAACAAAACAAAACAAAAAAGGAATAGAGCAGTGGTGCACAAGGGTCAAAAATCAGCTGCAGTTGGTAGAAAGAATTGCCCATATTCCACTGCTGCTTCTAAATTTCTTAATGGATGCATGAAAGAGGAAGCAGTAATTGGCAGACCTGGAAAATTTGTTTAATTGGAATTTGTTCGTTTAGAATTTGTTTTGTTAGAATTTGTAAACAGAAGTCAACTGATTTCCCATTTTAGTCAGTTATTTTTTTGTCTTTGGAAACAAATGACCACTTCAAAGGTCAAGGCCTTTGCTTCCTCTATACAAGTTCATCAAGATTTCCCTTGGAACACAGCACTGCTTTTCCATCTCATGAAGTGGCCACCTGCACAGTCTGACTGTGTTGAGAAAGGTCTCTGATTGTGAGGAGCAAAGCACTGTGCTGTGCACCCAGGTCACATCTTCCAGGACTACAGTTATAATGTGAGTTTGTTTCAAATTGTTAACTGTGCAAACAAGTCTGCCATGCTTCCCTCTCTGTCTATAAGTCCATAAGAAAAAGAAATAAACACACATTTTTTCCACTGTGATCCTTCTGACAGCTATAAAGGAGACAATTCATTTGTGGACTCTTCTGGGGTCTTTGCATCCTACACAGGGGTCAGCATCACACTCTTATAGGCCAACAGCACTGACATGGGCTGAAGACATGGTATCAAATTAGGAGAAAAAAATAGTTGGTTATGGAGCATTAGGGCTGCTCACAACATAAAACGTGGCACAAACATGCTCAAAGCTTGCAGACATTGGTGACTGAGGACCTTTATTTTTCCTTTGGGTCTCACATGCGCAAGGAGAGTTCAGCCCTTACATAAATAATGGTAAATCCACACTTTTTTCCAAATTAAAACAGATAATAATTATTTTCTTTGTAATATAAATATCATTTTTACATTTGTAATGTTGCAGACACCATCCATTTTCTACTTAACGCTGAGACAAATCAAGTTTTGTAATCATCATTAAACTATCCATCTTAAATTTGCAGCAAGAAGACTTCTGCTTGTTTTCCTCTGTCCTCTGAAGTGTAATCCTTCCTGACTTATATCTTCACATCGTTTCTGTAACCAAATTTATGACATCATTTGTAAAGACCATAAAACATATTTGGATACCGTTTATGTCCTAAAAAATATGGTAGCTTCAGTGAAGGAACATGCCATAATATCAGTCTGATGGGTAACTTAGTTTCTATAATTGAGTTATAATTACTTTTTGTAGACATTTGGATGAACACTGGTGACGAGCACAAAAGCAGTAAAGATTTTTTCTCAAAGGACAGAATTATTGACATGATCAAGATTGATATAAGCAGCAGTCTTGTGTGAAAAATGATATAATTTTCTGATATTTAACCACATTTTTATCATTACAGGTGTGCTACAGCACGCTACTTAAGATAAATATGAATAGGCTCTGTAAATTATAAGCATAATTTGATTTTTTTCCCCTCAAAGGTGGAAGCAAAATGGCACAGATATTGATCATACCATGAGTTATCACTACAGGTTGGTTGGAGGCAGCTTGGCAATCAATAACCCACGTAAAAAACAGGATATTGGAACATACCAGTGTTTGGCCACAAATTCATTTGGAACAATTCTGAGCAGGAAGGCAAAGCTTCAATTTGCATGTAAGTTGGGAAGATCATATTTATTAGAGCATTATTAATTACGTGCATAAATGATAATATATTGGGTAATTAAATAATTGTTGATGATTCTGTTCAAAAGGTTTGGCCTAGTTCAGCAGTGCTTATTCTTTAAAAAAATCATTTCTAGTAAATGTTATTAACAAAACCAGACATCTGATGGCTGCTAGCCCTCAGGAACAAGAGTAACTTTTAGAAAATTGAAAGCTAAAGAAAGATGAATGCAGTTATTTTCACTTAGTAGAGGTGTTTCCACTTTTTAAAGACTGGTTTCTGTGCTGCATTGCAGGTAAGAACGGTTGTGTGGGGGAAATGTGTCTGAAAGTTAGTTAGCATGAGGAGGTCCACAAGGAAGGGTACAAAGCATTATTCCCCTAATTGCCACACTGACATTTTGTTATATTAACAGAGTAAAACTCTCTCCCCTTACACAGCATGCAAAATGATGCTGCTAGGCTCTGCAGTGTGTCGTATTTCAGCTCAGTTGGACAGAGCACGTATGCTGTCTTGCGCCAGTTTACATCTTATTTCAGCCTTGCTCCCCATTTCACTTCCTCACAACTTCACAACCTTTTCTGCACCTCTTACGTGTGGCGACTGAGTTGCGTTGATGCCCTGGGGAAACACAGCTAAAGAAAACAACAAATAAATAAATAAATAACCCACCTCTGAAAAACTGATATTGCTTCCACTCCGATTTCTTCAGTATCAAAGCCTGAGCTATCTGTTGCTGGGAGAAAGCAATTGTTTTCAACCTCATTAATAAAACATGTGCCGAAAGCCAACCTTGTGCCGCTATTTCAGACACCAGAAAATGTATTAATTATTAATCTTCTTCCATTACTTCTAGCAAATCTTGTGTCACAGGGGTTATACAAAGGAGACATTAGAGGTCAGGATGGTTCACAGACTCTCTTTTAGTGGAGCAGATCAAATGGTATATCACTAGTGTCTTGTTTAATATTGTTTTACCCTGAATTTCTCAAAGAGCTTTTGATTCCCAGAAGCTGGTCAGATGGAAAGCAAAATTTTGATTCATTATTTTTCCACTTTTTCCGAAGCATCTTTGTAAGCCACTTCTCTATATGGGAAATGATTTCGAGGCTTGAAGATAAGAAGAGTTTAGTGACAGAACAAATCCTGGTTTAGTTCTAAAGAAAGAATGGGTGGCCTCAGGATTAACTGTGGAATCCATAACCCAGAAGGAAGCATGAGAGGTCAGGAAGGAGTGGGGAAAAGACATAAAGAGAAGCAACACCTTCACATGAAGACTCAAAGGAGAAAAAAAAAAAAAAAAAAAAAAAAAGAAATCTTAATATAAAAAAAAAAGGAATATCCATGAAAAGTGGAAGATGAAGAGGCTCCGGTCATTGTGCAGCATCTCACATTCCTCACTAATTTCAACTTCTTCTGGAAAAATCTGTCCCTGACTCAAACTCCCAGAAGCACTTTGGTTTACCTGTGGATTTGTAGCCATCCTAAGGCAAAGTGTATTCCAACATCATTCAATCAATGCTCCCGAGCAACTAGAGAAACTCTTTGCTAGAAAATGGACTTTAATACTCCATGCTGGTGAAGCATTCCCTCTGAAGCACGTAACTCCCTAATATCTCAGTGTCTCATGCCAATACAGGACAGTCAGATGGGCTAAATATCAAGCAGTTCCTTTTCTTAGGCTCCCACCAAGACTCTTCCCAAAGTTACTGCAGGGAGCAGTTCACAACAAAATGGAGGCTCATTTGTCCATGGCAGCAGACAAAACTACAGCTCCCATCCTGCTTTGATCCTCTAGCTGCATAGCAGTAAAAATATCCCATTTCCAAGAAGTATGCACTTTTTCCATTGCCAGAGACAGAAGTGTTCATCCTTTCCCATATCAAAGAGATAGGACAGATGAATTGAAATGTCATTTAAATTTGCAACCCAAAGCATACAGAAAAATGCTTCAGTTCAGTGATACCACTTTAAAAGTTTGAGTCTTTACTTGTCTTACAAGAGAAAAAAAAACACAGTAAGTAGAAAATGCTAAAATGACCTGATAAGAATAGTGGGACAAATTACCTTGAAACAGTTATTTTACAGTTAACATTTCCTTGTTTCTTATTTTCATGATGACATCCAATTTACATGTTTGCTTCAGCCAGTACTACAGATTACATCTTAAAATCTGGGCAGGCAGGCATGTTGTTGTTATGACACTTCCATTCAGTACCAAACAAAATGGGACTCTTCCCTGAATGGGACTGGCATGTTACAGCAGTCACCATGATAAATAATCGAATCAAGCCTATTATCTGGGTAACAGCATTTATGCATTTGTCTTCTTATTACAAGGTAACTTTGAGTTGGAGTTTGAATTAATGATACCTTTGAAAAACCTATTGTACATCTCAATATGTGAAAAATACTTTTTCCTTTCTTCAAGATAGCAAGCTCTCTGAGAAGCAAAATAAATGCTGTATGAGATTAGAAATATGTCTTCAGATTCAGCTAGAGTTTCATGCTTATCCTCTATTAAAAACAGAGCTGTCAAATGAAAGCTGCAGGAGGAATATTGTACAGAAGGAGGTGGCATAGATTATTAAAGCTACAGGCTGAAAATGAGAGACAGCACCAGTGAGAGAGAGCAGAGCAGGAGCACATAAATGCATTTGCAGGATGCATAGCATGGCAGCCCTGTGTTATTCATACTTCACAGAGAAGGTTTGTTTTGTCATAAATAAAGTTGAAAGCTCCCTATAAATCCTGTGCATCTCCAGCTACCCAAGCAGTACATTTTGAAAAGCTAGTGTGTGTCCCACAAGCAATGAAGTTGGTGATCTAGATGTGCAGGCTGGAGGAGAAACCTGGATGTCAAACCTCAGCTTGTGAAGCCAGAGCCTGGCACTGAAGCCTCCCATGTCACAGCCACACCTGCACTGTGCTTTTCCATCTCCACACTTGTTACTAGAATGCAACACAAGAGCACCAGCAGAGCTTCAAATCAGAGTAAAAGAGAGGGCAAAGACAACCAAGCTGTACCTGCATGTGTATTGATGAGGTGTTCTGCATAAATCTGTTCTTATTAATGTAGGTCTTCTAAATTGCATTTCACACCTTAATAAAAAGACAAACAATCCTGTTACAGAGAACTGTTTAATACTGCTGCAACTAGAATTGTATTGCAGGCACACAGGGGATTTGTTTTAATTATTTCATCAGTTTTAAGTAAAAGTATGCAAGCAATTGGTCTTGAGGGAAATCTCCATAACTAGTTGCAGTAAAACAGACTGTCCTGGCCAGTTAGTAAATCTTTTAGTTCTCATGTGTATCTGTGATAGAGACATTAAGAGATGAATAGCAGGAATAAGAAATGCAGTTGAACAAACTAGAAAAACAGTACTCTCCCATGAGAAAGAATCATATGTGAACCTGATCCATAAGCATTCAGGACATAAGCCCAGAAAATTCAGTCCTTATTGAAAACATTTGGTTGGCTGGGGATCTTAAATGAGATTCTTGGTCCCATTGTTCCAGTATTGCTGGTAGAATGTCATGAGGATTGCAGCTTTCTCAGACCTCGGGTCTCATTAATTAAACATGAATTCTGAGAAACAATGACGAGAATTTAAATTCAAGAATAGGTTTAGTCATTTTGTCTTGAACAACACAGGACAATAGACCTCTTACAAACATTTTTTTCCCCCACTGCTATGCAGTAAGGAAGGACTGTTCCTCGGCATTTTTGGGATGCAGTCATACTCTCATGGCTTTCAGTGGAGCGGTCAGGGGTTTTGCTTTTGCCTTTTTCTAAGTAGTGTTTTTCTAAGTACATACATCCTCCCTCCTCTTGGCCAGAGAGGACGTGCTCAGGGCACCATGAATGAGAATGATGGTTTTGGAGCACTTGGAAGAAACCTGGAGATCCAAGTGCCTTTTATCAGAAAGAAAAATGATGACACAGCTTTGCTGAAATCACAAATTGAAGAGGCAATAATTCCTCCTGGACAGAGTTTTTCCATTCTGAGAAGAAAAATAATAATCTGTTGGTAGTATTTAACCATTTTAGAGGAAAGATTAAAAGCAATCAAGTCCATTTAGTCTTTGCTAGATTGTGACAGTGTGAGGCATTTGCAAAGCCCTTTTAGAGTGACTGTCTTTGAGATGCTCAGCTAGCATGAAAGCCCACTTTTCATCTGATTACTTCATCATGTTATTTACCTTTGACTGCACACAAATTACACAAACATCACAAAGCAATACAGCATGCCTCAAAATGTCATAACCCTTTTTACTTGTAGCATATGCTTTGAAATAGAAAATGGAAAAATCAATGCACTTAAATCAGATCAGATAGTCTGAATTTGCAAAGTCTGTGCCAGCATGGATTCCAGTCTGAATAGCACATACTTTTCTGCACTGGCTGTACCTCAGTGTTGTGTGTGCCCAGAAATCCCCCTGTAACAATTGTATTTGATTAGAAGGTGAGCAAGATGTTGTAACTACCACCCTGAGCAAAGCTGTCTCAATCCTTAAATTGAGTTTTAATTCATCAGCAGGCAGGGCTGCCATGCTGATCAGGCTGCCTCTCAGCTCATGCTGAAAAGTGAGCACTGCAACTTCTTGCTGATCCAGAAGGAGCTGTGTGCTCCTCAACAGTGCTCAAGTAGCACTGAGCAGCAGTGCAGGGATGGCACACTGCTCACTGAACAACTTCTTCCTGATGTACTGCATTCCCTTGTCCTCTCCAGGGACACCCCAAATGCAAAGTAGTACTGCTTACCTCTTACTCTTGAAAGTCTGCCTTACACATAGTGCAGAAACACATCTTGACGTGCAGATGTGTGGACAATCAGAGGGAGCAGTGGCTCACACAGCCCTCCCAATGGCCCTGGCAACACCTCACAATCTACATCTTCCTCTGGGCAGGTGAGAAGAAAATGCAGCTTGCAGTAGCAACGATCCTGTCTGGAGGATGGAAATGCTACTGTCATCCCTCCTGT